TGAGGCATATTTTATTTTCAAATTTCGAACATTAGTAGCCGGCATCAACGAGGACCGCGGAAGACTGTCCTGCCTCCGAGAAGTAAGCCAGGAGGAAATTTGTGACAAAGATTGATAGCTGGAGACCATGCTCGTTTTTTCTGACTGACTCGTACGTGTACACTGTCCTTTCTTGTTTTTTTTCTCTTCTTTTTTCCTTTTTTTCTTTTTTTCACATGCACATACACAGTGGATCTGTTCGCCTACCACTTGATGACCATTGAAGGGAAACGGACGAAAATGAAAGAGAGCCGACCGACCCATTAAGGGGAAACCCTTTCCTTACGCACGCCGTCACGGACCCCTCCCGCCACCACGGCGACAATTTTGGGTGGCCCGACACGTGCCAAGAACTGACCAGCACGGGATTAGAACCGGATGTAGACGTACACGGACATTTGGTTTTGTTCTCCGTGTTGACAGTGGTTCTTCCCGTTTTTTACTTTCTTTTTTCTTTTTTTTTCTTTTATTCTTTTTCTTCTCTTTTTTTTCTTTCTTTTTTTAGTTGTCTCTCACTCTCGCAAACATCTTCCAAGGCGAGAGGGACGCGGCAGCAACGAAGTTTGGAAGCTCATGTCAGTATAACTCATCCCCTGATGAAGGGAGGACCCCTCCCGAAACTGTTGGGAAATAAATATATTGATCCTAGTTGACAACGCTCCCGTTGTGCCATATCCCATAGCTTATATATATATATATATATATATATATATATATATATATATATATACATTGTAATGAATCTGAATAACGGACGCTCTGCTGTTACTGAAGAAGACGATGATGATCGGTGGCAGTAGTAGTAGCTCGCGCTCGCAGGTAGCCAGACCTGCCTCATAAAGCACCTTTCGCCAAGCTGCGTCTGAACCTTTCTCGACATACAACACCTCTATTTAAATATATAGTTGGTCACACGTTACCTTCAACTTCTTTTCGCTGTTTTTGTTTTCCCCACTTACAGGTATTAAATTATTTGAGCACTTTTGATCGCGATCGAGCCAGTTAGGGATGGAAGTTTTTTCGTCAAGTTGGGCTCATTCGTTAACTGTGCGAGGAAGCCAGCTGTAGTTCTAAAATTTCCAACGGAATCGAGCTGGGGTGACAGCGAACGAAAGTGGCCATGCGACGCCCGTGTGTGTTACGAGCGGCTCTCATATTAACGCTCACATTACAATCACGGCTCACGATAGGTGATGTGAATCGTTGTGCAACAACCCTGTCGCGTCCAACATTCCTTTGCGTGAGGTACGAGCCCGGCCGGAACGGCGATGTTCGCTACGCAGATAGGGCTCGGTAAGTTTCGTCCACGTGCGGTTTTTTTAACGTGCACCCATATCCAAGCACAACAATGACCATGAGAGACGGCGACTTTCGTTGTCAGAGGTCGACAACACTGCCTTCGCGATTATATTGTCGGCAGCGTCGGCAACCACATAGGCGATTCGAGGCTTGATAAAAAAAAACCGTCGCCGCCATTCTCACGTCACCGACCGGACCTTTGCTTGTATTTTCAACAGCAAAATAAATAATAATAAGATTAATAATAATAATAATAATAATGAAAAGAAACCTTCAGTTCATTTTCGGAAACACGCCTCAGCTGATTCCCGCCCAAAAAAAATGATAATGTAACGAGATACCCATGTCCTACACAGCACAGCGGTACAATCAATTCACTGTAAAAATATTGCACTACTGAGATACAAATACATTTTTAGAATGTATATCTCGATAAAGAAAGAAAGTTATAACGCGTTAGCCAGCCCTAGATCAGATGTACAATACTCACGGATCAACACTGCACATTTTAGGGCTAAGTGACACGCATACTTCCGTTTCCACCATTTTCAGTTCAGGTCATTTGAGCGGTCACATGCCATCAGACAACTACCAACGAAAACGTACATCACACTAGACTGAATAGGCCTGACTTTTCACCTTGCTATCAGCGCTGTAGTTTAGATCATGTGTTCTGGCTGCGCTCCTTGAACTCGAGATGAGAATTACCAGGACAGAACCTACTGTGAGGCAACCATGTGCAGCGCGGCAACCAACTCCTTGTCGCCCAGAGGGACATCACCTGAGAGGCTCCAACTTCAGGCGCCTTCCTGGGGGTGAATGCCTGGCTGAGATAGTGCGAACTCCGGCTCCGCCCTGCCTCTAGTCACGTTTGCACCAAAATAAGGTTCTCACTCGGTCGGCGTAACTTTCCACCTGAACGTGTATATCAGATCCGGCATCACCTTTAGTGACCAGATTCGTCGCGCCACGACGTGGTTATCTCGAATGATTCCGCAGACGCTATACTGGAAAACTTAATGTCGCACTGAATCCGCAAGTGCTGTACTTCTCGACACAGGCTGCCGCCACAAGTCGGCGCCGCGCTCCTACCATTGCACAGTAGCCACACAACCTCGCGCAATGCACAAAGGCCTCATCACACGCTTCTATTGCAGCGCGTCAGCGCGCGGCTTTTGGTGGTGGTAGTGGTTAGAAGAGAAAGGCACCTAATTTCTGCAGCCCGGTCGGGAGCACGGCGCAGTGCCTGCGCGGCTTTTCGACCCGGCTCCACGCCCTCTCCTGGTGAAGAGATGGCGCGTGGCTAGACTATCCTGCGAGCCCTCTCTCTCCATTGGGAGAGGGCGGGACGCCTAATGCCCCTGCGGCGCCACGTAAAAAAGCCACACGGCGATGCGCTGCAACGGGTACGTGAGGTGAGGTCTTTAGGCCGTAACGAGGGAGAGGGCGAGCGCGTTTCATCGCACGCGCTCAATGTCATGCAAGAGACACGCAGATCCAACTTCGCCCCGCGACTTCTCTCCCTGTCTACCCGCGTAGCGTCCAGCACGTTCGTGGGTACAAGAGATACCCACGAACGCGCATAAGATGTACCCAAGAGGTACCTCTTATGCACCAAATTCCTTGACGGATTAGATAATTTTTGCGTGAGGCAATAAACTCCTACACTGAGGTCACTGGGTTATTGCTTAGAAGTGCGATTCCTTTCATGTTGTCGCTTTTTTTTTTGTGCCGTCTTTTTTGGCCTGCGTGCACACATGCGCTCAATTTTATCCCGAATAGGCGCGAGCATCAAACGTGTACAGTAGTAAGAATAAGTGTGCTACCAACACGGCGTACACCCGACAACATGGGGCACATTAGAAAATGGCATACATTTCATATATCGCAGTGCTGCCAGACTTCATGCAGCTGCAGTCTATCGGAAGTTCTGAACAGGAGTGAACCCAGAAATTCTTCCAACGGTGGTGAGGGTTAAACTACTCACTACACATGTTCGTACATGATCAAAACTCAATTTTTAGGGGGGGGAGGGTAGAAGGATTGAGCCCCTTCCCCTGGCTTTTTCAGCACATTAGAACATGGCCGTCATGCCATTTACCGGTATACCACATGCACGTTTGTTACTCCCATGCTATAGCTGTTCCAACAGCGGCTAAGCTTCGGTCACTTCCACTGAAATGATTTTCTCAAAAATTCTATGCGACAGCCCCCGAGGCCTCCAGTGTCATAACATTTCAAGGGGATATGTCAAAGCAGAGCATTAAACCAGTTCAGACTAATTGATTATACTCCAAACAGTTATATATGTGGAGTTTAACGTCCCATAACCATCATATGATTATGAGACACGCCGTAGTGGAGGGCTACGGAAATTTCGACCACCTGGGGTTCTTTAACGTGCACCTAAATCTGAGTACACGGGCCTACAACATTTCAGCCTCCATCGGAAATGCAGCCGCCGCAGCGAGGATTTGAGCCCGCGACCTGCGGGTCAGCAGCTGAGTACCTTAGCCACTAGACCACCGCGGCGTGGCTACTCCAAACAGTTATCATTTGGCCTTAGTGTTACAGGTTCATTACAGCAAAATTAAGGCTGAAGTTTTATATATGAGCGAAGGCTTCCACATCTTAACATCACTGCAACGTCACATAATTAACTTCTTGTTTCCACATTTCGGACTATTTTCCTGACTTTAGTGCCCTCGGAACACACTACCTCCCTTACACCAATAATTATGTGGGCCATACCAGATGCAGTGTACAAAGTGTTTCTCCTTAATCGCTCTTTTAATTCTTTATTGGCCTAGTCAAACGGGTTTCACAAGCAGAGCAATTAAATTTCCAGTCTACATCACAGTCACGAGGGCACGTAAACCTTCCTTCCAAAACTAACCAGAGAATGTTCATGAGACTCCTAGATGCTACGACAGTTGATTGAAGTCAAGCTGTGGTTAAATTATTCATAAAATAAACGGCACCCATCAGCAAGAGAATGCACAGTGTACTTCAACAAGGTATGCACCATGCATCGAGGGCACACGTGCCCAGTCGACAACGGAAAATATTCCAGACATGGCTAATCAGAGGTGTAAATAGTATATTAACACCATCGCATTGCTTGAAGGAGCCCACAAAGCAGGCATAAATATACATTACACTGTAGAAAAATTGCTTTCTTGAACAAGGCTGCTTCTTTGGGATGAAGGTCACAACCTCCAGAAGCCTAAATATTATGTTGTCTACAAAAAACATTCGATTAGCATTCAAGGTGCCCTGGGTAATAATTGTAGAGCAGCGTGAAAAAAAAAATAGAAGTTAACAGCAAAAGATTTCATGTTGAGATGTTCTTGTGCCTACTGGATGGCCAAACTCAGCGGATGATGTGTGTGGAAGGAGCCGCACACCAGAGTGAAAATTTGGGAAGGTCGGTAGAAATTCGTACTTGATAAATTAGCACAAAATTTTGTCACTTCCTGGCAGCCTGCAATACATCCACTTTTGCATAGCCAATTTCAATTTGTGCAAGTGAAATGGTTAAAGCAGCAAGATCTTCCTTGAAGCATTCAGCCTCCATGGAATAAGGGGGAAAATTGCATCCGTTCCTGCCACCTTATAACCACAGAGGCAATGCCCACTCAGAATGCACAGCAATGACACTCTTTCTAGAAGAACTGCAATTTATTCAACAAAAAGAGGAACGCTTATTGTACAGTAGAAAGAATGTTGCCTAACTTGGGGCTCATTCTTATTAACAAAGAAGGCATTGCGACATTGCTGGCAGCTGATAGTGAGAAATCGATGTAAAAGAGACAGACATAAGCTGTGGGAAACGCAACACCCGACCAAAGCGGGGTGGGAAGGGATTCAAATGCACTGAAACAAAAAGAGAAACAAGCTTTTATGCAGTGCAAGCGACACTGGTACCCTATGCGGAAAAAAAAAGTCAGAGAAACAAAAAGACAGGCCATGAGGTTTAAAAGCAAGCTAGCCGACGAGCATGGCAAAGTTGGGATAAAAAACGCAAATCAAAATGAGTTCACTACACAGTCATTTTTTTCACACATTTGTTGTGGGCTACGAGTCCTCCACACATCATCGGTGTTCCGCTCCTCGCCGCTCCATCGGTTGGATATGACTCACCTCTGCAGAACTTGCGTACAAAGGACCGTGAGAAAAAAAAAGCTAAAAAAAGACTATACGCGCTCTCCCGAAGCACGATTTGTTTTTAAAAAAAAAAAAGCTGTGCACTTCCCAAGTGAGGCAGTAAACAAATCCTTTCTCTCCCTCCTTCCCCTATCTCTCTCGACGAAATTGGCAAGACAGTTCAACCGACCATGAGAAGGAGAAGAGATCCCTTAAGGCTCTGACAGTAGGCTAGTGCAGACTGCGAGAGGTGGGGGGAAGAGGAGGCATGGGGAACTAATGGGAGAAGACGGTCGCTGTACTGTGCAGCAATTGGAAAAGCGCGTTCTTGCCCTTGACACACCATGATTAACAGCAACAACAGATTCTCAAGAGACCAGACGCCAAACTGGATGCTGTACTCGCAAAAAACCGCACCTTTCTTGCCGTTTCCACCATTTTGGAGACACTCACTTGGGGACTCTTCACTGTTGCTGCTCTGCACTGTTGTCACCTCCGCAGTAGCACAGTCAAGAGATGCACCACACTTCCATCGGTCTGCTTACGCAGTATCAAATAGGGTGATGATGCAGTTGACGCATGGCACTCTAGAAGCGGTGATGGGCGGGCACACTCGTCGCTAGCTCTTGCTCTCCTAGTGCAGGAGGCGGTTTTAAAGCTGAGAGTTAGCTTTCATTGCAAAGGTGATGTCGAAAGTTCCTATTCCTCTGGGGGAAAGAGAGGAGAAACTGTGGCAGCCAAATGAAGCGAACAAAAAGAAAACAGGAGTGAAAGAAATACAAGAAATAACGGGAGAAAGCTTGTACACAGATACGGCACATACATCCCAGTCATCCACTATCACAATGTGGCCCGGAAAGAAGGCCCAATAGGGTTTAGAGATGGGAAGAAGGCTGGGGAGAGAGCCAAGAGATCACCGCTGCTCGTGACGTAGGAGGAGATAGAGCCGAGCTCAGGGCTTTTTCTTTTTTTTTTTTCCACGGTGCAAGCACAAAAAAGCATGGTTGTTTCTTTTTCGGGACCAATATGCTACATTTAAGACTGGCTTCTATTTTAGCGATGAGGGGACGGGATGCACAGAGCACGTCAGAAGATGACGCCGGGGAGCCAGCTTGATTTCCCCTCGTGTTCCGTTTCTTCCTCCACACACGTCTCCACATTTGCTCACGGACGCCGAACTTCTTCTGTCCCTGTGTTGTCCCACTGATGTGCGCGCGAGTGTGTTGCGTGGTGTGTCGTGTGTCTGTTCGTTCTCTTGCTCGTGTGTTGTCGAAGTGGCCTTCGCTCTACGCAGATTGGTGGCCGCCAAGTGGAACATTCCTGCGAGACAATTTTTTCGAAATGGTACCTTACAAAATTTGATCTCTCCTGTACTACACAGACTTTACTACAGCAGACCCCCGAGAGAGAGCACTCCCTACACCCAAACCCCCTTAAGAAAATTCAAACAACAGGGACGTACTTTCCCACGGCAGCATCTGCCAAGAAAAAAAAATGGCCTGCGCGTGGAGTCCCCAGAGGTTTTTCACTCTAGATTAATGATAGATATTGATATGCCGGGTCAAACTTCTCAGAACCACCATATGATTATGAGAGACACCATAGTAGAGAGCTCCGCAAATTTTAACCACATGGGGTTCTTTATTGTGCACCCAAATCTGAGCACAAAGGCCTATAGCATTTTCGCCTCCATCAAAAATGCAGCTGCCACAGCCGGGATTCGATCCCGTAACCAGCAGCTTCTCACTCTAGATTAGGGCACCACAGTTTGCGAACACAAAAAAACAACAGCAACACGATCACACTGCAGGAAACATGTCATAGAAGCAGCACCTCTGATGAAGATGACAACAAACTTAACAGCCCTAAGTGACAAACAAATCATGCAGGCATTACTATTGCTGACTGTGTCATCACACATACAAAGTTAGAATGCATGTCTCGAAGGCCAGGCATTAGCTTGCATGACTGAATGCATGTCTCGAAGGCCAGGCATTAGCTTGCATGACTGAAAATCACGACTGGCATCTTGCGCTTAGGTTCAGTGTGCAATCATATTGTGGTAAAAGAAATCACACTTTTTACAACAGATGTCAGGAGCTGATGCCTAATATCGAGCTGCTAAGGATAAATGGGACTCAAACAGGCAAGCGTTGCATGAACGTGGTGTATGATCACGTGCCCATGTTGCACCTGTGAGTGACTCATGTTCTTCCCGTCATCGTCAACATGGACAGTCGTGTGGGCAGCACAGGGAAATTGTTGTAGGGACTCATCCATAGCGAGGGCTTTGTGAACTAAATGCGAAACCTGTGACCATTCGTCATGGATGATCCCAGGTAAGGAACACCACGATCTAGGTGCTAGCACAACTTCAAAGAAATAAATGAAAACTCACAGAGCATTTGGCAATCGGCCCATGTAGATAAAATGCAAAACAACATGTGCAGCATTGCCATAACTCCTGTCAACCTTACTGTAATCACACCTGCAGGTACATGTTTCAGTGATACTAGACAAAGTAAAATTTATTTCACTTTGAACTTATTATAGTTCTTGCAAAATATATAAAATTTAGAATCTTTCCAGCATGATTAGACATGAAATCTTGCAAGCACATGAGACATGGAAACGCCAAATGAATTCTTGCAGCTTCTGTCCAAAGCTAAATAAATTGATATGGCCCCAACTCCATCTACGTTGAACTTACTCCTGGACTTTTACATTTATGGATGGATCTTAAAGGGACTCACTGGTGCTCGTGTGACGGATGTATTAGCGTTTGTTAATGGATGTTTTTCATCGTCTAACTTTCCCTTACACGCATTGCATTTATATGCCTACACAATTTTGAAGAGGATTCCAATTTCATAGCAAGACACTGCAGCCCAATTGAATTCACCACATGACGTGAATGGTCGTGAACATTTAAAAAAATAATGCCAGAAAATCCTGGCATTTTAGGGTCTGAATCCACAATATGAATATGACTAGGATTGTGTCAATAGTATCAGTTTTATGTTTTAAAGCACAGCAGAAATGTATGGTAATTAGTATCGCACAATTTCAAAGCAAGTTCCACCAGTAGCAGAAGTAGCTGTAGCATGCTGCTTACAGGTGGTAAAATATATAATTTTTTCATCTTTAATGAATGTGCAGGTTATTAATATGCACTTTACCCTGAATGCGTGGTGTCACAGGAGTGCATATTTCCCCTGAAAAGGCGATTTCCTGGCACCGCACCACAATGTCGCAGTGAAACCACCTTTTCCAGGTGAATTACTTGCGGTAAAAGCCATCTATTCGAGTTCCTCAAAATTTGCAATATTTTAAACTAGTGTCGAAGCGAATTTCAATACAGTAATGACCTCTCTACAGAGGTCCTGCTGCAGATTGCCTGAGAATATCACATGAAAGCTATGGACATCTTTTTAAAACATGAACGAATAATCATGTTTGAAAAGTAGACCCCCACCAACAAACATCAATGGATGAAGTGGTATTTGCTTTGTGCGTTTTTCGATGCCGGACTTCTTTCTGTAGCAAGATTCTGGTGGGAAAATTCAGAACGGAGCATTGGGGGACCTTGCTCGCCTGTGAGGAAAAGGAGGCAGAAGTGGCGCTCCTGGACCAGGCGCGACAAGCTGCTGAGGCCAGAGGAGCAGGGGCCCCACACACCTGCTTCTTAAACCTTTTTTTTTTTTTCCCATTAACGTTTTTCTATTCCATTCCCTTCGATGCTTTTGCTCAACGTGTTTCGGTGTCGCTTCCCTGAAGCGACTCTCGCACTGAGCTGGTCGTCACCCACGAAGTACGACACCCCCACTGCAGCCACCTGTGCACATCGATAAACCATTTAGGAACAACGTCAAGCGACTGTACTTGGAGTGGAGGAAGCATGGAGAGCCAGAAGTGACCCCTTGCTGAAACAGGCCTCGCCAGCTATGCCGAGGCATGGTCATGCATTTCCAAGGCGTTCGTTCAGCGTACATTCAAGAAGTGCTCGATAGCAAAGAGCCTTGATGGCACTGAAGATGCACCTTTGACAAGAGAGTTTTGGAGGGAAGTGCGTGAGTTTATCTTGGGACAAATTCAGGGGAAAACTCTTTCTCACATTTGCTATCCCCAAACTACCGTATTTACTCGATTCTACCGCGCCCTTGATTGTAACGCGCACCCGGTTTCCACGACGAAAAAAAAAAAGTAGGACATCGATTGCAACGCGCACCCATTTTTCTCGTTGGCCCGCACGATCACACCACTCGGGAAAACGACTGCTTTCGCGAGCGCCTTCCATTTAAATATGAGGTACAGGGGAAGCTTGGGCCTATCTGATGTGCAACGGAGCATTACCGTCACTCTAGTCTTACCGTGGCCCGACGTCCGCACGCGAACTTGCTTCGCCCCTTTCTTCTCGATGGTTGTGGTGCCAGGCATGTCAAAGTAAAGAGGCGTGTGATCGGCATTCCCGATTTGCCCAAGCAGGTAGCCGTTGTTGTGCCACAAGTTTAGGGCGAACCTCTGAAAACTGTGAAGCTTTTCTTCGTACTCCTCCGGCAACTTTTGGCATATGCCCGTTCGCCTTCGGAGGGAAAAGCCTTTCCTCTTCATAAAGTTAGTTAGCCAGCACCTGCTCGCTTTAAACTGGCTCGGCATTAGCCCTTTTTCTAAGGCTAACTGCATAGCCTGCACTTGGAGCAGTTCTGTCATCACAGGCCGCTCACTGCTCAATCATATACTCACCGAGCAGCTCTTCAATTTGCGGAAACCGACCCTGCTGTGATCCACTGAAGCCTTTGCGTGAATGTTTACTGTCGACAATATTCTGATTTTGTTTCCGTCAGTCCCGCACGCACGTTTCGGGAACTCTGAACGACCACGATGCGGCCCGATTTCCGTCCGTTTCGGCACACGCGATAACTTTTCTTTTAAAAGCGGCATCGTGGTGCACTCGTCGAGTTTTTGGAGTCGGCCCTTCCATGCCGTCGATGCTAATGCACTACAAGATGACGAACTCCTCAGCACACATACGAAGTGCCACACATGGGAAACACATAGACAGAAATGGCCGACGCACCATGCCGACGCACGTAGGGGGCGGCCATTTTGGAAATGCCGATGGCAATAGAATGACCGTATTCATTTTTTTTTTTCGTACTCGATTCTAACGCGCATGCGATTTATGAACACGCTTAACCGGAAAAAAAGTGCACGTTAGATTCGAGTAATTACGGTACACCATGAGCTATATGCAGAGCCGCACTATACATGGGTTCTTACAGCAATCCACTGTATTGAATGAGAATGCAAAGAACGATTGATTGATTTGATTGATATGCGGCGTTTAAAGTCCCAAAACCACCATATGATCATGAGAAATGCCGTAGTGGAGGGCTGCGGAAATTTCGACCACCTGGGGCTATTTAACATGCGCCAAAATCCGAGCGCACAAGCCTACAGCATTTTCGCCTCCATCGAAAATGCAGTCGCTGCAGCCGGGATTCGATCCTGCGACCTTCGGTTCAGCAGCCAAGTACCTTAGCCACCAGAACATCGCGGAAGGGCGAATGTGAAGAACGGATTACGACCGGACAGAGGAAGGTATGCATGTGCAATGTGTGTGTCCTGTTATTAGCCTTGTTTACTAAATGATGATATTGTGTGACGTGACTTTGATACTGATGGTCAATGACCAAGGTGAGATGATGAGATAGAATTTAGAGTTTGCCTATGCCACAACTGCTGCCAATAATATTGAAACTTTTGTTTTAGAAAGGATATTACATCTACTGCAGCGACAAGTATGGATACATCGGCAGCGTTCTTATAGACTGATGTGGTAGTACACCAACACGTTTCGTTGAATCTCGCGGTGTCATGGCGCCCAGCAGACTACAGCATGCTGTTTCGGTGCGTAGATCGTGCATAAGGGTCTAATCTTGCCTAATCATGAGGCCAGCTGTACTGCTGGCAGAGATGTGTGAACAGCGAGATTATGGGTACAAAGTGAATTTGAATACTAAAAATTGAGTGCGAATCGAACAGAATATTTTTCAAACAGTTGTCAAAAATTTCCTAAATATTTTTCGAATACTTTGAAGTGAGAACTTCAAAAACAAGATTATGAGACAGAGTGCTCCATTTAGCTAGTTTTGAAGTTCTGTAGTGATCGATTTCCCTAGTTTTATCAAGGATGAGGCAATGCAGAGACTGAATTGTATTCACTTACATCACTTGGTGCAATAAATGTGATGTTGGCAACACTTTAACATGAAAGAAAAAGACTGTTTCCTACACCTCTCCCTCCTTCAACTTCTGTTGAGGCCTAACTCATTTCACGAAAAGGCGTGCTCCGTTCGAATTCGGAGTCGCTAATCTTCCCTGTAGACATCAATGTATAAAAATATCTGGAGTTTCGGGTGGCGAATATCTTCATTCCATTTTGTCCAGCTCTTTCGTTCGAGACGGCATTAATAAAGTCGCCACCTGTCTTACGAAGGTTCGAACCAGCCCTTTCGCTATTTGATCAGTTTACGTCAACAGCGGAGCTGCAAGGACAGCTTTGCTGCAATACCCCAAAGTAATGTGGTGAGGTACATTAAAAGCTACAAAGGGTTCTCTGTAATGGCACAGTGCTGGATGTTAGAATCAGCGTTTTCGCGAGTAAATAGATTGGTTACCATAGCACTCTAAAAGGCAGCTTCACCCCATCACACTATTTCAGCGAAGCTGAAATGCGATAGTGAGATGAGGTGAAGAATATTAAAAATCTGAAGGGGCCACTGCCAATCGTTTTTTTTTCTGTCTTCAAAAAGTTCAAATAGTTCTTATAATCAAAATTTCAGTGTGAATCGAGTAGAATTGCAAACATTTTTCGAAAAATATTTTAATTTAGAATATTCATGCACCTAATTGATAGACTGTAGACAGTCTTCATTAGATTTTTCAATGAGTCCCAGAATCTAAGCGCGCACACACCGTCGCAATTCACTCCCATCAGAATGCAACCCCTGAGTGGAAATTAGCCCGCCTCCTTGAGCCTGGCAGTGCAAAACTAAGCAGCTAGGCTACTACTACGAGTTATTTTCAAAAGTCTAGAGTAACATACTGAAGACTTCAACCCCTCATCCATCACCTGTGTAATGGGCTTCTCTGACATTATGGGTAGCTTGCACATCAGCTAAGCAGCTCAGGGCTTCGCATAGACTCAAACCTCCTTATAAACACAGTTGCATCTTACACGAAAATAACTTTTTTATATCCGAAAATTTGTTATAAAGGTATATTCCCAACACTACAGCTATTGCTACACTGTATTTCTTTTACTTCGTTATAACCAATATTTCTTTATATCCAGGTTCATTATATTGAGGTTTGTGTGTACAATCGGGCACTCCTCACACAGCCTGCAGAAGATGTAGACACAGTCGGCAGCCAACATTAAACGTCTTGAATGGAGAGTGAATGCCCCCTGTGATAGTTCAGGAGCACATGGAATTCCACGAACACGTCGAGGGAGAAACGGAAGGCGCTGCTGTCCAGCTCGGCCTTCGATGACTGGCTCAAGATAATCCAGATGGTGGAAGAAGTGGCATGAGCAAGCAGAGCCCTGGACTACGAGCCGCGAAGATTCGCAATGCCACCTTGGGGAGTCAGGCACAGAGTGATAGTGTGGGTGGCACCACCCACGCTCCTCCAAGGTGGGTAGTGCTACCCAAGCAGTTGGCCAGTAGATCGATAGTTGGGCCGAAATAGAATCGACCACGATACCCTACTCACTGATTATGAATAATGTCACCAGAACGTGCTCTCAAAGTTTGTCAGCACTCAAGATGTGTGAGTAGCAGAGGTTGTCGCATTTTAATTGACTCACTCATGCGATACAGTGTACTGCCGACGATTCAAAACTAAGTGAAAAAGCAGCCTCTTAGCCTGGTCTCGATCTTTTACAGGAAAAAAAAAAACAGCGACTGTGACTCTCTCAAGCTGTGAAAAAACAGCGATAGTAAATAGATATCAGCAATATATAATATACATAACACAAATATATGACCCCCAACCCCTCCCCATTATTTCCTTGCCCAAAATAGCCACAGCTGTGGCTTCTAATTGAATATGACAGAAAGTATAAATATATGGACGATTAACAAAGGTACACTATGCAACAGATATATGGTTTTCAACAAGCTAATACACAAAGCGGTTGGTCAGTAGATCAATAGTAGAGCCGCAGTGTAATCCACCACGATATCCTTCTCACTGATTACGAGTAATAAGTCGCCAGTAACACCGGAAAGCAATCTTAGCACTATGTTCTTTGTACATCTACAAAAGTCATTGCATGACCAGCGTGTCTAAGAGAAAAAGAGGTATCATTACTCACCCTAGCAACAATTCATCACTTTCTTTTCAGGAGGAAGCACCCTAAGTCTATCTTGGTTCTCGGCCTGGTCCTTGCCAGCCATTTGCTAGAAAGAGTAGGAAAATGTTCCATGAGAGCATGGAAGCTTCAAGTCGCTCTAAAAGGTGTACAACCGTTTAACACAAAAGTGTTTTATGCCGGAGTCCATTAAGGCTCCGCTGACATATTTCCGTCACGGATATGACGTTGTAAAATATATACTAACAAATATAAAAAATACACGAGAAGGAAGAGTTCCTCGGCAAGGCGTCAAACCAGCGACCTCATGCTTTCCAGTGCCTGACACTAACCACTAAGCCACCTTCTCCACCTTGCTAGTGGCAAGCCATTTATATACACCATGTACTCCTGGCAGTCCTCAGAGCTCAGCAACTTCAGCATGTTTTCGTCATCAGTAGCGAGATGGCACGACGAGTGGACGTGCCGCACCACCCCGCACGTCGCTAGGTGCACGCGCCTCCACATGGCGGGGTCAAAAAGTGTACAGATGTTCTCTAGCATGGTGGCTTACTCGTATGCACTTATCTCGAGATCCAGGTGCTTCCGCCGCAAGTTTGCTTTGAAGTTACAGTAGTTCAAGAGAGTATGAACATCAATTCACTTGCCGCCACCTTTACGAAAACAGCGCGCTGCTCACAAGAAGAAGTAAGAATTGTGACAGTTGTCGCTCTCGTCCTGTGTATACTTGCCCGTTCATTTCATGTGTCTTTCTACTTGAGCAGCGTGCTTTAATTGTCGAGCTGTGACAGTTGTTCGCTTGTGCTCCTGCTATGTATGCTCATTTCGTGCATGCTTTCTGCTTGAAGAGTGTGCTGTAAGTTTCGATCTGCTCGCCGTTCTTCACGCGATATTGCAAGTTGGTGCTGCAGCATTCATTCCTTCACTCTTATGGCGAAATAATACACAATGAATGCTCAAACACCTCAGCGAGAACTCGTTTCACTTTCGTGTATTACCGATCCATAAAAAAGAGGGATCAGCCACATACGTGGTTGTCTGTTCCCTTTGAAACAAGCAACCACCTAGCTAACAGCGTGGATCATCACACACAGGCTAACAACATACATGAACTCCTACAGTGCGTGAGACCTACCGGAATTTTTCGAATTGGGTACCAAAGACTGTCTAATTTTGCTATCTTTTCATTTAGACTTCAACATTAGCTCTTTCACAAGGGGTTCTTTAGTATAAACTGTCTGAAAATTTCTGATGACACAAATAAAGGCACAATAGCCCAGAAAAACCACGCAAGCATACCATGTGATGGCAATGTTTCAGGTTTCTGAATCAGTTTTCCACTACAGTTAAACCTAGCTATAACCCTCATACAATAAGTTAAACCTAGCTATAACCCTCATACAATAAATTCCTTGATAATACAAAATTTTCATATTCCCCGTTGTGGCTCCGTAAAACCACAACTACGTATGACCTCTATATAATGAAGCGACAGTGGAAGACACCCTTAAATTGATGAAAACTCCACCCCCACCCCCCTCCAACCACCTACTGCTTTTACCCTGGAATCAGTCACTTCAGTACAAGCATGTTCTGTAGTTACCTGCGACAACTGAGCATGAAGCAGCGTCATATACACAGCGCGCAGGTAGGCTCGAAGACAGCGTGTGTACGTGCCAGATGGCTAGCACGAAAAAAGGTGCGTGAAACAAGCCAAACTCGCTAGAAACCCGCTTGCTTCATCACCTAAGTAGCCAGAAACCCATGCGATGGGCCCGGTGCCAAGAAAATCGGCCTGAAACCAATTCTTCAGCAACACGACAATGAAGCGCTTTATTTCTTCATGGAAGCTTTATCAGCCGTATGTGATTCAAACGTACAGGAGCAAATTCAAAGTGGCAGCCAAGCACTGTGCAGAGATTCTCATTCTCAAAATGGCGGCCAAAGACTGTGCAGTCGCAAAGTGCCCGAGCTGCATGTCGTACCTCGTGGCCTCTACAATGACGCATTCCTGAATATCCTCACTTAATTAAGATTTACAAGAAGATGAATGAGCGGAGAAGCAGTAGCAGAGAGTCCAACAAGGCCCAACATATCTCGCTTTTATGCAGCCGGGCGGTCGCGTATCTTTTGGCACAACTTGAAAAACTGAAAACTTTCTTTCCTATGTTCAGCGCTCATAACTTGAATACGGTATGAAATAAACAGCTATAAAAACTGGCAAAATGGCAGGCATTTACTTCATTTCCAAATGAGGCAGGTAAAAGTAGTAAAAACAATGTCAGCAGCAAATGGCAAAGGCAGAAAAAAAAAGGTATATGTTATCGACTAGCATGTACACAGTTTTCCAAATGCTTAGTTTGCCCAAGATGAAAGTGCTAGATGTCATCTCTATTTAGTGCCATGCAGCAGGATTGCTAGACTATGACAGATCAGCGTTGGCTTCCTACACAAGTCATGACTGTTCAGTGTTCTGCGCTTGTGTTGTGTGTTCTTTGTTATAGTGGCTGCGCTTCTTAGCAAGATGGATCCTTACCAACTGGCCCGATACAATTGTTTATTGAGTTACAGAGCAAAGTCATGCAGCTTTTTACCACGATCACGTGTTTTGAGTGAGGCCTACCCACAGTCCTTTTTTTGTTAATTTTGAGAATTTTTTTCGGATTTTTTACCAAAACTGCATAAAATGAAAAGCTCTTTGTAATAAATATTTGCAGAAATTTGTCAATATTGTATTAAATATATAGGTTCAACTCTTTATCATAAATTATGTCAGCATAATAGTGTACTAAAGCCATAGGTCAGCTAACTCATGCCCAAGTCAACTGAAACTCACTAGGACTCACTCAAACTCTGATGGAGCTGTAAGTACGAGTATGAGCGCATCGGACTAAGTAACATTTTGGTGAATATGAATTGGAGTTAGCCCAGTTGAGGAAAGTATCGGCAAGCGCAATTCCAAGTGTGCCTAGAGTGCAAAATATATTTCTTGAGTAAGTAAGTGAGCTCTACCTTTAACTGCCAACCTACGATGCTTTCTACTCACCTTCAGCGTTACTATCGGTCTTACACCGCCTCACATTTATACTAATCGATAGAGACACCTCAACACACTGGTGTTCACGTGCTACCTCAATATTGCTCAGATGTGTGTATAGGTGCTCTACAAGAAAAAGTTATAAAATTTGTAAATTTCATTAACCCTTGCGGTCCATTGTCGGGCCCCGCCCGACAACACAACACGGCCGCAGCAGTCCGCTGTCGGGCACTGCTTGACACGCTTTCTCCTAATTTAATTGCGTGCACATTTTTTTCTTACTGTGCCTGTAGCGCCACCTCTTATAAAAGGCAAGAACTGCCTTGATTTCAGCTTTTTTTTCACCAGACGGCGCAGTTTACGCGGTTAAACTCTTCGATTGTTCGAGTGGCGCGCAGCTCAGATTCAGCGCCGCTTGCAGCGAAATGGTCGCCTTTTCACCGAGTGCCTTCTACGGCGGTAATTCTGAAGCTTTTAGCAAAAGCGAAGACGATTTTAGTGACGAAGACAACTATGTGGCTCCATCGGATACCGAAGAAAGTGATTCTACAGAAGCCAGCGAGGAAGGAAACGAGGACGGTAGAGACGATGGAAACAACCAGAACAACACAGGACCACGTGGAACCTACTGGACAGCCTACTTGGATAATTTACCAGATTTTGACCCTCTTCCCTTTACTGTCCCGAACCCGGGATCTCAAGTAAGCTCTTCCAATGTAAAGTGCGAGTTGGACTACTTTCAGTTGTTCTTCACCGACCAGCTGATTGAGCAAATAGTGCGCGAAACAAACCGCTACGCCCGTGATAAAATCTCGAGTGCCGGTGTTCTTCAGCAGTACTAGATTTGGAATGACTGGGAAGATGTGCGCATGGAAGAATTCAAAGCCTTCCTAGGGGTTATAGTGAACATGTCCTTGAACCCCAAACCGGAGCTGAAGGAATACTTTAGCAACGACCTCCTCAAGAAGATGCCTTTTTTCCCACACGTTTTCAAACGAAAAAGGTTTCTTCAAATATTTTGGAGGCTGCACGTTGCACCAAGCCCACATACCTCTTCAGGTCCACCAACTCGTGGAAGCAAGATCAGGGATGTTGTGACCTACATAGATGCTAAATGCAGAGAGCATTTCAACGCCGGCCCCAAAATTTGCGTAGATGAAAGTACTGTCGGCTTCAAAGGCCGAGTCTCATTCAAGTGCTACAATCCCCAGAAGCCAACAAAATGGGGCATGCGCGTTTATGCGCTGGCCGATTGCCAAACAGGCTACATTTCGGCCTTTGAACCATACTACGGCAGCACAACAACTGATAGCCTCTGCCGTCCCCAGCTTCCCTTCACATGCAGGATTGTGCTCCACCTGCTGGAGAAAATGAAGCTACACCGGGCAGTGGCTATCATCTGTATACGGACAGATTTTATACGTCCCCAATGCTTGCGGAAGAGTTACTTTCGCACAGTATTTTGCTAACTAGGACTGTGATGACAAATCGAAAACAAATGCCGCAGCAGCTCAAAAAAAAGATGAAAAAAGGTGAAGTGATGGCTTATCGCAGAGGAAACTCGTACATGGCACTTGCCTGGGGGGATAAGCGTCAAGTGACAATGCTAAGCTCAGCCCACAATGCGTCTACGAAAGAAGTGCCAAGGAAGATAGCTGGAGGAAAAACACTGACACTGAAGAAACCTGTGGTGATATGCGACTACACTGAAAACATGGGTGCTGTGGACAGGGCCGATCATTACTGTGCAAGTTATGCATTTTCCCAGAAGTGAATGAAATGGTGGAGAAAGCTTTTTTTTTTTGGCTTCTGGAAGTTTCGATAGTGAACAGCTTCATTTTGATGAGACTGCAGCTCCTGAAGCAGGGAGAGAAAGAGCAGCGACACCTGCAGTACCGGAGGAACCTGATAGAGCAGCTGGTAGGTGACGCAAGGACTCGCGCTGGGAAGCGGGCCCCATCTGCAAGATTGGATTGCGAACAAAGGCTGGATGGAAAGCCCCATTTCATCTACAAGCTCCCTGGCCGAAGCAGCAAGGACTGCGCTGTTTGCAGTGACCGGAAAACAAAAGGGGGCAGGAGGGAAACAGTGTTCTTCTGCAAAACCTGCAAAAATAATTACGGACTGCACCCAGGAGAGTGCTTTGAACGCTTCCACACACTGCCCAAGTATCGCTAAATAACTTGGGGACAAAGAGGAACTGACGAAATAAACAACCGCCAAGGTAATTTCCCACAGTTGTCGTTTTCTTTCGTGGTGCCTCAAACTAGTGAAATAGTTTCGCACCGGAACGACCGGAAAGTGGGTAAGAGTTTGGGACCGCAAAGGGTTAATGAAATTCACAAGATCTTATCGTTCGTTAAATATTCATAAATATTTGTGATATTTATTAAATGCAATTTTATGAATTGCATTTGTAAAATGTGCCACCAACATTTTAACCACTGATCAACTCAAATTTGAAGGTACAAGATAAAAAGGTCAAGCACCAGTTATGTAACACACGTGTCACAGGGGCGTTTCGAAGGCCATTGAACTGACACTCTATTGACTCAACTGTCAAGCACGAGCTGCCACATAGGCAATTTCGAAGGCCATCGAGTCAATAGTCGATCGAGTGAACGAAACACCCCACGCCTTCATTGAAAACTTCTATGGCTATTGAGCAGCAGAAGCGAAACCAGCGCAAGCGTTCCAACATTCACAAGCAGTTGAGGAAAGTATTGAAAAGCGTTGGCAACGTGGCCACAGTTTCGCTGCTTAACAACTTTAAAACCAAATGCGTTCATTATTACAATAAACAATTTATTGAAATGTGAACAAAAATAATGACCATGTGCATGCTTTCAAGTGTATTTATATTATTTCTCTTTAACATGAAAATGAAAAAGGTTTGCAGCACCACACAATCTTTGTGAGAAACACCTGAACCACTTGATGTGGATGTTCAAATCTGCCGTGTAGCAGTGCAACGAGTCGATTGAGCTGCGGCGTTTCGACAGCCTTTCAGAAGTGTCCGACTGGCACAGGTATTATATATTGGCATTCTAAAGGGGATTAACACAACGACAGAGCAAGCTCGTTTCACACAAACGGACTCGTGAGTAGACTCGCTCCGGCTCAAGTAAAGACGCGAGTTAGCCCCGCTGCGTAATATGCTGGTGAACCAGTCCAAGTGAGTCCAGCCGAGAAAATTTTAGTAGGTCTGAGACTGTGCGAGCCTTTGGAGCAGAATTCATTACTAGAGCGAGTCTGAGCGAGCTCCATTTCTTTTCGCCGACCTGTGACAACAGCAAATATAGTTGCTACTGTTGAACCAATTCTTGAGCTGCCCTTAAAAGGCAGCATTGAGAACAAGCGCCTTGCCTCTAAACTTCACGTTAAATATAAAACATCACAAATAGGCAAACACACGTTACTTATACAAAATTCGCTGGTGCCGCAGGTTCAGAGCAAGCAACATATGGAGATTAATTAAATGTATTTTGACTCCCCCCACCCTTTCTTTAGGATGATGCTCTTTTGTTCCCAATGCTAGGTTTAACATTTATTATAGCTCTGCAAACTATACATCCCTACAAGGGGGGGGGGGGGGGAGATGCAACAGTGAGCGCAGAAAGTACGAGCTCACGTTTTTATTTCAGCATGAGCAGATGATCTGCACAGGGGAGGATGCACGAGAGCAAACGCACAGTGCAGCTAGCACAATACGGGGTGCGGGCATAGTTCTGGTAAGTAAGCATTTGACTGCAGAAAAGAATTACCTTATTTAATATGGCTTCAGCAAGCTCCGTGAAGGCCCGCTCAATGTTTACATTTGTCTTTGCACTTGTCTCCATGAAGCGAATATTGTGATCTATCGCCACCTGCAAAGTGAAAAGGGAAAGTTAGGCCATCATGCTATAGAAAGAGACAAAAAAGAAAAGTCAACCCAGAAATGTTCGTTCACTGCCTTAGAGAAAATTATGATACTATTTGCCATCTGTCAACAGCAGCACATCTGAGCACATGGCCAATTTATTTGCAAACTTTATGAGATGCCCTTTGCTCACATAAGGACTAAGCTGTTCAAACTCTAATTACACCCGTAATATGTGCTGAAAAAAAAAAACTACTGGTACATAGTGTCAGGCCAGGCAAGCTAAGGTTCACATGATTATGTTTGTGAACCAAGGTTGCCCTATCAAACACCAAATGAGCCAAGTGTCATCAAATCAATTAGGGAGTCAAGACTCTAAAGCAACATCTTAACTTATGAAACGCCACAACAAGGACAGACTCAACATTAAGTTCTCACATAGCATGATGCTCACATAGCGGCCGTCTTTTTCTTCGGCCGGTTTCCTCATCGGCCACCACCCCCGCATCAGCAGCGTCGTGCACGAAGCCGCTATGCCTAAAGCAGTTTGCGACTACTGCAGGCGGTGTGATATTCCACACGTATGTCAGCATGTGTATTGCGCTTAGCAGGCTTACTTCGTACTGTTTGCCTGACTCCATGCAGAGCAACATCAACATCCGCTTGAGTACCTGCTGCCGATAGCGACTTTTCACGAACTGTACGATTCCCTAGTCCATCGGCTGCAAGAAAGCCGTTATGTTCGCAGGCAGGAATAGCAGTTCAATGTTCTTGAGCCCGGACACCTTCGCGTGCGCACTACAGTTGTCTAGCATGAATAACATTTTCCGAGCCTTGGCCGCAAAGCGGCGGTCGAGTTGACGCAGCCAGGCATGAAAGAGTTCGGCAGTCATCCAAGCCTTTCTGTTGAACCGGTATACGACAAGCAGCTGCTTAATATTTTTAAAACATCTTGGCTTCGCAGCCTTTCCGATCACCAGCAGCGGCAGCCGCTCTGTGCTGGTCATGTTAACAGGCAGAAGAGAACTGTCACGCGCTCTTTACTTCGTTTTCCACCGACACACGGGTCCCCCTTGAACGCGATTGTTCTGTCAGGCAGAGCCTTATAGAACAGCGCTGTCTCATCAACATTGGATGTTACACGGCTCGTACATAGAAAGGCACGCGGATAGTCCAGACTGCCAGTCCTGCACAACACTTTCGTCAACTGCACCTCTTTCACCACACATGCTGCGGAACACCAGCTCGTGTCGCTTCTTGAAGCGGTCGAACCATCCGACGCACTGAAGGAGTCAATGTTCATAGTCACCGAAACTTCTCTGCTTGTGCGCAAATAAGGGGGCCGCTCAAGAGCAAACGCGCATCGCATGAAATGGCAATTCAGCGCAACAGAGCTTCTTCTAGCTTGGGATGCACTACTGTTCGAAGCCTCTACCTTTGGTCGCCAGACATACGCTTGCATAATCTGCTCTTTGTTCTTCACGTAAAGTGCTCAGCGTGCTTTTTTTCACATTGAACTTTTCCATCACTTCTTTCGAGATGCTCCCTGCTTGCAACGCCTTCAATATTTGCACCTTCGCAGACAAATCCTTTGCTTCGTATTTCGCCCTCTTCGCTGCGGAAGTTTGGGCGGTTGGGGCCACAGGAGACGGAAGGGAAGCCATCCCAGCATCGCTCGCGCGATGGTCACGCACGTGCACGAAGTAGACAACACAAACACACACACAAAAATAAACGCACGATGATAAAAACAAAATAAACACCGGCAAACTTTTCAAGAAACAGCAAACAGTAAAACTGCAGATGGCGCTGATCATGTACAGATAAATAATTTAAAGCACACTTGATGTGAGCAATTCAACTCAACCATCACGCAAACGTGTTCGACGCGCAAGAAAAAAGGAAAGGCAAATTCGTAGGTTGCTCGTTGCTGATGACGTTAGCGATGCCCTGCCTTCCATTTTGGTTGTTTGAAACATGTGTATTCTTGTTTTTGTTTTTTGGCGGGGGGGGGGGGGGAATGGTTTGGACAAAGTTTTGAATCTCAGAGGCCGCAATCTGATTCCAAAGTTGTTAAGGTGCGCCGTCGATTTGGCCGGCAGAATCCGCTTCTGTTTCCTCGTCGTGATAGGACCGCAATCGGGCGTGCAAATTAACTGAAGCGCAGCCAAATTTGTTTGAATTAATGAGAGTTTTCAGTCATCGAACTATGTACATTTTGGACAGGACCAGATGCCGTGGCCAAATTAACCGAAATTCCAAATTAATAGGGGTCGAATTAACGAGGTTTTATTGTACTGAAACGATGATGGTATTATGCACAATTCACAGTGTCGTTACCAAACACCTTCACTACATGAATTTTTGCTGGTACTGCAAGTATTGCTTGTTATTAGAATTGCAGTAAAAACTTCACCACTATGTTTTGCGATTCTCTAAGATTTTTACAGTGTTCCAATGCACTTTCAGCAAATGCACTTATAAGCATGCTCCAACTGGATCATTTAATTAATAAAAGCATCCCCACCTGTGTGCAATCTACAGTGGCAGATGTACAACGCATGTTTGTTCAACAAGTAGCATTGCAGAACTAATGTCAGAAGCATTATTTTACTGTTCTTGAAATGAAGGCAACCAAAACCTATTGGGCACACATTCGGAACTTACGATTTCATTCTCATGTCAAAATGAAACATGACTGACAGCAGAATGATGAGTTATCTAATTACATGCTAATTACAATGTATTGCTGAAACTCACAAGACAGCCTGTTACTTCATTTTCTTTGCTTGAATTTAATTTGAGTGAGTGCCTTGAAATTATGTGAATCATTCACATTTCTAGATACTAGTGCACCATATTTTGTGTGTCAATATCAGTCACCACAGTGATCGTCACATCCTTTGCACTGCAGCAAAGCTACCTTGGCCCAAATAAATCCTATGTATAGTAATCTGCACCACAACTTCAGCTCTTAATTTTGTGTGGGCTGTATGCAAGAAAATACAGCTTTGCTTCAGTAGTGTACACTGCTCATTAACAATATTGCCAAAAGCGAAGTATAACTGCAGTCAACTTTTAAAAAGACATTAAAGCGAAACAATAAATTACTTTATGCTAGAAAATTATATGCTGAGAACTCTAGTGTCATCAGCTTCAGCACCAGATGTTAATTATTACACGAGAAAACCAATTACAGAAGCTTCACTGAAATCTCGAGACATAAAAAAATGTTTTTTTTTTTTTTTCGAATTTTGATCACATTGGCTCAATAACATTTTCTGAAACTTGGTACAGTCGAGCACCGCTACAACGAACACTGCTTCAACGAAATTTCTGCTAGTACAACGAAATATTACCGGTTCCCCATCAGCACTCTATAGCAATCAAGCATAAACATTTTTGACAGCGACAAACACTTTATCTTCTGCCATTACACATCAACGAAATTTACGACGAGATTCCAGGCTAAAATATTTATTGACGTGCACTAAACAAAGTCTTCAACATTTGATGCATTTTTCAGAACCTAAAAATATGTCTACGGCAGTCTAAAACCTGCATTGGCACCACCAGAAACTGCTGCTGTTTACTAAGCATAAGGGCCGCCATTGCTTGATAATGATGGCAATGAGACTGCCCTGCTTTTGCCACTTGCTTGCCTTTGAGTCGTAGACAATCCGAAGCTGAAGCTCGGTCGCTCAGTTTAAGTTTCTTACACGCTGCTGCTGGGTGCAATCGTGGAACCTTTTCCTATGCTAATGCTTTTGATTCTTTTCGTATTTGGTCAGTGTGATTACTGGTCAGAGCAGCTGTTCGCCCCTGTTATCCACAAAATGAGCCAGCCGCCACCAGTGAATGATAACAATAGCGTAAGTTACCGCTCTGCGACACCACACCTCCATGTCGGCGCTGTCAGATACCTTTTACGGCAGACAGCTGCTAAGTGCTAGCGTGCAGGCTGCAACTGTTCGGTTTGTTCACGAAGGCCGTTGTGGCCATTGTTTCAGCACGCTTTTCAACATGGTGTTCCTATGCACGCATGAGAATCGCGCCATGATGCTGCTGGGACAGATAAGGAAGCACCCGACACTTTTTGAATTTTCGGGAATAAAAGTTTCTTTCGCCAGCTAACATTGGCTATCATTTTTTTTCAATTTCACTACAACAAAATTTGTGTTTCTTTCTTTAAAACAAAATTTGTGTTTTAAGTCAAATTTTGTGTTTTCTGGCTCTCTCAGAGGACAATGTACTTAATTTATGCTGATCAGCATTTATGTAGGGCCCTGCAGATGCTATCAAAATCTACAGGTGGAGTGACAGGTGGAGAAACTGTCAGGTGCCATCGCCACTGCTATTCCTTCTTGTATGTTTTATTACTAATAAAGTTTCTTCCAGCAACCAGCTCTGCGTTTTAGGCATCATGGAAGAGCAACAGACTAATACGACAAAGTTCGTCTAAATCAATAATGAGAATTGTGCTTGCAATGTTGTGGCTAAGCTGAGCCGATCCCAGGCTGCCTTTTTAATGCTCGCAGTGCACCCAAACTCACCGCCTCGCCTCGTTCCCTGGAAATGAGGCGCTTGTCCTCCATATCGCACTTGTTGCCCAGTATCATCTTTTCGACGTCCTCGTTTGCGTGCTCGTCGATGTACCGCAGCCACTTTGCAATATTGTCAAAGCTCTTGGTGTTGGTGATGTCGTACACGAGCATGATGCCCATGGCGCCCCGGTAGTACGAGGTCGTGATGGTGTGGAAACGCTCCTGGCCCGCTGTGTCCCTGAAACGTACGCCGAAAGACGACGGCACATCACACAACGAATTTGGCTAACACAATCACACACTGCAATGGCCAGCAAAGATGAAAGAAAATAATTTTTCAGTCCTTCTTACTGGAGTGCCTGCACAGTAACTATTCCATTTCCTTTTTTAATGAATTAAGGTCCATGGCCTTGGTACCATAAAAAAGACATTGCAAAAAGCATTGCAGCACCTTTAATAATTTAATGTAACAGCTCCTTATACAGTTCATTCCATTTTCATTTTTCAAAGGACCCACCATTGTGATGCCATGACCCAGACAGTAATCTTGAAAGACTAGAATTAACTCCTACGTCCCTTCCTGGAAATTGCAGATAAATATAAGAACAAAATGCTTAATCCCGTTCCCCACATCGATGAAACAAGGCCAGAAATGAAGGACAGTGTAGAATATATCGGCATGTTGTTTGCACCAGATAATTGCGAGAAAAATATAGAGAAGGGGACCACAAAAATGGTTGAATGTGAATGTCCCTCTGCAGCATAGCTGCCCAACATCAGCTAGAAAAGCAATGCCTGTGCAGTACTGCTAAGCCATTTTGTGTACAGGTTATACACAAGGCACTGGCTCTTTTACTCGTCCTCGGCTGTGTAAACAATATGCGTGGAACGTTTGTTCACTCGAGCAATATTTGAATTGAGTACCTCTACTTTCCACAGCATCAATCAACACTAAAGCTGATCTACATAACAAAACAATTGGTGTCATCCACTGGATGATTCGGAGTGGCTGACAAACTCTGCGCCAGAGCACTCCACTTTGACAGAGGACAATTGAAGAGAATCTACCAATAGAACACACGTGCTCCCGCTGGAGCGGAAGGGAGGGTCAAAATGGAACGTGTTGCGCACGTCTCACTTCTTGCATGAGATGGGCAGGCTGGGCACAGCCAGCGCTGTATAGTTCGACGTGAAGGTGCAACCAGCGTCGTTGTAACGCCCCCAGTTGTCGCCGTTCCATGCAATGGTGTGCTTGAGACTTTTCGTCGAATTCGCAACTAATCGCGGGATAGAGATTGCAGGGATAGAAAAAGGAGCTTCGTGGAGTGAATCTCGCGACAAATACTCCAGATACGCCAATGGAACATGCAAAAAGCACTCTAAATATGCCAATATAACAGACTTGCTCCTAACAGAGCAGGAAAAGTGCTGCTGGAAGTGCTCAGAATCTGTCGAAGGATGACACCAAATGTCTTCAGTACAAGAACTCGTTACTCCAATGCAAGCAAGCAGAGGAGAACAAAAAAAATACAACAATTCAATAAACTGGAACAACAAGTAGCCCCCTCAATTAGTTAACAGCTACATAAATCAACCAGACAGTCCATGAGGTAGCTCAGTATAAAAATCTAGATACTCGGATTTAAGTAAGACTAAGCAACAAGAAACTAGATTATGAAGAATTTTCTGCAAAAGCCAGCTTCTATGGTTTGTAGTGCTTCAGGTGCTGGTGCAGTTGTCTGGCATGGGCAGCCTTTGGCATCTAGTGAGCACTGACCTGCGCATTGCTGCGTTTTTGATGGTGCCGAAAATACATAGGATATATCTTCTGTGTGGTTGGTTATAGAGGCTTACATTGCAACCGGTCAACAATCATAAAAAAGTAGTTCAGGGGCTCTCGCGCTTCCAAGAAAATAGTGAATCTTGAAGTGCGAGTGCCTGAAATATTACGTCTATTTCTGTCCATCACAGTGCACATGATTCCTTCCCAGCTTTTTTTCCTTGGAGCTTTGCACATACTTAGCAGAACAACCCTACGTTGTTGCTGGCAACAACAGGTCAGGCATTTATATCTCGGCAACACTTAAGTGCAGTAACATAAAATGATGAGTTGCTTCGGTAAAAGATCAGATTGCAACATCAAAATTACCTGCTGATCACCAGCAAACCCACGATCGCAAAGGCATCAATTATTGGGAAAAGCTGCAAACGAATACGCACATGACCAGCACGCCTACGGGGGCCAGATTTGTGTACACTGCTGGATTTGTCGAGTACTGTGCCACCACAAAAATCCAACTCGTAACAGGCTTCACATGCAAAATAGGTTTCCCGACTTCATCATGCCCATGAGAAGTGCCGTTTCGGTAATAGTTTCGTAGTTCTGGTTCTTTAGTACAAATGTCAACTTTAATCCGATACAATTCACGATACTTACGCCACTGCTTGATACATTAAATTGATTTTCTGCATACAAATATCCAAATTTTCGACATTGTTGAATCCCTCATAATCCCCGAATCCATTCATGATACTTTTGCCATTTTTTTGCTATATTAAATTGCTCTGTTGCATAAAAATATCAAAATTTTTATATTCTTGAATTCCACATTCAAAGACTCCCAGTACACTTTTGCTTTGGCTGAAAACACCCAGCATCTTTGCACGCAGCTAATCGGCTGTACGGAAGCATGCAATATGTAGAAAGCTCTGGGAAAGGAAATATATTTTCTACTTTCTTGCCACGAACATCACAAAGAAATGCATTTGGAATTTCTCAGAAAAAAAAGCTCGACCTGGACGAATTTTTATAGACTATGAAAGTTTCTTTCTAAAAAGTTCAAGGGAACGCTGATTTTCCCCTTCCTCTGTGATTGCATAAACAGCGCTGTGCCGCAAAAGTATTTCATAGATTTTTGTTTGCATAAACAGCGTTGTGCCGCAAAAGTGTTTCATGGGTTTTTTGTTGTTTTTTTCCTCCCCACTCTGAATTAACTACGGGATGTATAACAGCAGTAGAAAACACAATGGTGGAAATTGCAACACCAACAGAGGAATGTATGCCAAGCACCACAGCTGTGCTACCGAACAATGCCAAATGACACGACAATAACAAACGTGCTACGCCAAAGGACAATGGATTTCAAGATGACAAGGCTTAAGTTTACAAGTGCTACGCGACACGTGCAGCACGACAATGCAAGCGCCAACGCAATTTAAAAGACAGCCGCAGCATGCTGCTGTTCTCACCATATCTGGAGCTTTATTTTCTTGCCTTTCAGTTCGATGGTTTTGATCTTGAAGTCGATCCCTGAAATGCGATGACATGAAAAACAGCACTGAGTATACAAAAATGCTGATACAGGCTAAACAATGTGATGCGCTTAAAGGGACACTAAAATGAAACAATCACTTCGTTTAGATTGATATACTGTACTCTGAGAACTCTAATTGTGTCATTTTCACCATCATAAGTTCATTATTATAGGAAAAAAACACGGCTGAAGTTTCATTTTTAAATTTCGTGCTGAAATCTCCGCACATGACGTCACGAATTCAGAGATGTATTTTTGTGTTTTAGCGGCATTGGCTGAATGAAATTTTCTTATACTTCGTACGCTAGGTCTGTGGCACCAACAGATGACAATGTACTTCAACTTTACCGATTAGAAACGATGTACGACTTAGTACACACCATTAAAATCTTCTACATCGCATTGTTTGGTGCGGAGAATCTCAAGGTGGCGTCTCCCCCTGCATTTTCTTGTCACATGTTTGCTGGCTTCCCAAGCGTCGTCTCGCGATATGAGTGGCGTTTTTCGGGATGGGGGAAACGGTACTTTACTAGTACGTGAAAAATCACTTTGCTTTTTAGTGTCCCTCTGAGGCAGCACCAAATTTCAATGCGTCAATAACTCAACTGGACACGCTTCATGCAACTCCCACTGAAGTGCGGCAGTAAATTGAAAAGGCGGTACACCTTCAGTTGCAAACTGTGTGCCGAACATACACACACATTAAAGGTTCATCATTAACAACAATGATGAAGAGAAAACACTGCATCAATCCCAAGCAATATACAGAGATGGAAATGATTTATACCTGTGTCACACAGACCCTTATGGCAGGCCATACAAACGATGGCCGTTAAAACACCATAACTCTAATGACTCAATGGAGTTGTGTTGCTACACTGCAGTTTTGTATGGCCACTGAGCGGTTCAGGGGTTTCTCACAACAGTTGTTCGACACAGCCTATTTTCACATTTACGTCCCCTAATGTTGAAACTTAGTCACTTAAAATCACAAATGTCTATTCTTTTTGCTAAAGCAGTTCAATAAACTGTTCATTTATAATTATCAATACATATTTTTAAACTGTTCAGCAGCGAAGTGGTGGCTAGTGCGACACTGCAAAACGGTATGGCACATTGCTGTTGTCGATAGTATGTGCAGACCGCATGCTTCAAGTAAAAAAATACTTTATTAAAATCATTAATATTGCTGACATCTACTGCTTTTAAAGCATACTGGCTAGTTTCCTTTTTTTTTTTCATTATCATGATCACAATGCAAACAAAAGGTTGCATTTGCACTGTTTCCGCTTTCGTCGTTCAATGCCGTCAAAACTTCAATAGAATTGCCAGGTGCTCTGTCTCGATTGACCTAATGAGCTTTGAAACCTCATGTGTGGCAGATAGTGCCCGACCGTTAAGTCAATCGAAGGCCCTCCAAACCGCCGTGTGACAGCAACATAACACGGTCTATTGCAACTACATCTTCTAGTGACATCCTTATTCCTGGCAGAGTCCTTCTTTATACATTTGAGTTCCCTGCAATTTAAGCTCCCTGTGATCAGTAAGGCAGTTGGTAATTTTCCAATTATTTATAACCTTTGGTATGTAGTATCTTTTTTATTGAATACTAAATAGTCTTTCCTTTATAACCACGAGTTTTTTATTCAACGTTCATCGGTGTACATATTTACTCAAGGTATATAGCCTATTCTCAGTATTTCATGTGTGGCTGCAAAGAGGCTTTTACACATTTATTTTGTGAACATTTCTTTATGGTTTTGTTTGCGCTAGTTAGTACAAGCTTTGAAGCTTTTATATGTTTTGCTTTTTGAATGAATGAATCTAAATGAATGCAGTACCATCTGTCAATAATACCCAAATCATACCATTTCTCTAAAGGTCGACAAGCCTTTCGCCGGTGACAAAAAAAAATAATAGTTACTATTCAAGGCTGGCTAATTATAAAGCTTGTAAAGGTGTCAGCCTCTTGTACAATTGCAAATTATTAATGATGCTTCTTATCAACCACCAGTGATACACCAGGGATTGACATAGTAACAAAAAATTTTTGGTAGACACCTACCAGTATCTACTCCCTAAATTGATATGGCTCTTACATTTCATCACTATTGTGCAACAGCCATACATATTCGAACCATACTTCCGACGGCGACACAGCACACACAGAGACATGCAGCCTTCCCTTCTCTACCATATTTTCTCTCAGACAACTTTACTTTGAGATTTCGCTGCAATGCCGCTATGCGGCCGGAAATATGGACCAGCTGCAACAACGCCAGCGTAATACTTACTAACTCCAAACGTAGTAAATGCCGAGAAGTCAGATTACCCATATTCAAGAGCGTATAACAGCTGTTGCCGCGCAGGCCCTACGCTAATTTTGCATTAAATCTTTGGAGGGGAAAAAAATTACAGCACCCTGCCCAACAGAGCACTCGCTCGACCCAGCTAATGCCGCGACTGTTTCCCTACGACAGTTTGACGCGCTAATTAAACGGGTCGCCGCGCTCTGGCCAACACGTCAGCGCGCCGCCGTGGCGACAGACAGGTAGGGTAGTCAGACGCCCCACCCCACCTGGAGTTCTTTAACCCCACGCCGGCAGGCGCGAAAATAGAAGTAAATAGTACGAAAAAAAGAGGAAGGGGTACAAGCCAAGAATCGGACGAGGCAGCGGTGTGAGCTGTATGACAGGACAGCCGCAAATGCGTAGCTGCGCTTTCTCGTCTCGCTGAAATTGTCCACGCAGGACGACGGAACACTCTCCAATCAGCCACGAGCGAGGTAAACCAACCACTGCCCGACAACGCATCGAAGTGAACCGTCAGCTGAAGTGAAGTGGACGCGTTCTGTATCGCACTCGATACAGCGCTTCAAAAAAAAAAAAGAGAGAGAAACAGGAAAAACCGACCGAGGTAGCAGTTTACCTCTTCTCGAAAGATTCCCGTCGTTTTACCGTCACTATCCGTCGCAACGACAAGTCACACAGGCTTAAATAGGGTGTCGATGCGTCTCGGTGGATTGATGCTCAGATTGAACCGTGCGTCTCTCCTTGTTCGGTTTTTATCGATGATGACAGCGATACGTGAAACGACTTTAGCCGAAGGTTCCCGATCGGTTTCGTTACGTGCGAGCGGACGCTGACGGAAGGTCGTTTTGGAAATAGTCGCTCAGGGGAGCGGCTCGCCGGCGGTGGTGGCAGGAAAGCGCGTTTCGCGTTGTACGGGGCGGGGGAAGTCACTATCGCGCGCCCGACAACGACGAAACGAATAAACAAACACACATAGACGAATAAATAAAGGCACTGGGTGTTACCCCCGGTCCGATTTCGAAGACATGGGCAGCACGACAGAGTGGGGGAGAGGGAGAGGACACAACGCGAAGACACAAGCGGGGGAAGGGGGACAAAATAAAAGGAAACAAGAAAGCGCTCACCTATGGTGGAGATGAACGTGGTGTGAAATGCGTCGTCGGAGAACCTAAAGAGAATGCACGTCTTTCCGACTCCGGAGTCGCCGATGAGGAGTAGCTTGAAGAGTAGGTCGTAGGTTTTCTTGGCCATCACGCCAAACTCACCCCCCGCTCCCTCGCAATGGCTGACCCGTCGAAGCACGGAAAACGCCTCAACGGCGGCGCAAGGCGATCACGTCGGCACCGGCTGACACGGCAGGGCTTATCTCCGAGGAGCACTGGCGTCGTTGACGGCCGAAACACCGTGGGGCCAGTCGTCACACACTCGAGGATCAGAGACACCCGCGATTAACACCACAAGCGAGTCATCAGCGGCGTTCAACAGCGCAGCAGCACCTCCAGGTTTTTTTTTCCAGGCCTAACCAAGCGCTCACTTGCGCACGGAGTCAGTGCGGTGACGTCACGGACGGCGCCGCGTGGAGCGGATATCCGGCTGAGCTAGGGCGTTTTTTTCGCTCTCAACAACCAATGACGTGCTTTTTATTTTCGGTTTCATTTTATTTTGAAGAGATATTAACGGCGACGTCATCTACTGCGCAATCGAAAACGCCGACACGCGCATTACAATGCGGCTAAATTGAATGCATTCGGGTGCATTCGCGATCATTGTATTGTGTTAAGAGCGTGATTAAAGCGAATGCAACTGTTGTAGCCGCGCGTTCGTTTCTAGCGAAGCTTGCGCCGACTCTGTTTTACGACGCCGGTCAGATCGTTAAGACACGGTTACAGTGGACACGGTTTTATGAGTACAGTGCACTTACCTGTACCGGCGACTGCTGTCGATCAACAACTCGCCTCGAGATGCATCTCTGGCAGCGCGCAGTACGCGATGCGTCAGTTTCGGAACGCGAGCACGGATGACACCACCACGCGCGCAAGACGTGACGACGCTCTCCGTTTATCGCGTTCGTCACGGGTCTTTGATCTGCGCTGTGCGCACGACGCGAAGACTATGTGGGGGTAGAGAGCAGCCGCCTACATCGACGCAACTCGTACAAAAGTATTTTCGTCGGGACGCCTACAATCGCACGCCGCGGAAGGCTGCGTCCGTGTAAGGAACGCACGTGCAGCTAACCTCTTTAATACATATGCAACGTGCGCGCAACATTGGCCCAGCATATAACGTACCACTGCGTATTGTCGGGTTAACACTCTGGTGATAAGCAGTTTCTGGCATTGTTCACGTCAGTGGACGTTTCAGTCGAGAAGAAATGGATATTATTTGTGAATCGCTGCAATGAAATACGAGTTATGCCAACGCCCTACCATATTCGTAAACAACAATTTAAGAAGGAGACAAACACGATTTTGTACGCAAACTTAACCTGTCAGATTTGGTCGCATTGCTCTGTTCGATAAATAAAATACGAGGAAGAAAAATGTGTTCTGGCTGCAGTTGCATGACCCGCATTTGATAAAACAGCGATTAACGTTCTAGTGGCAGTTCGTTCAAGTATTACCCGCAGTGGCAGCTATTTGTGCGTAGTACAGGGTGTTATTCGCGTGCGATGTTATTCACACCAATGTGGGTGTTTTCTTTGTATGCCCCTAAGATTATTGGCAATAAATTTACTGTGGATAAAGACCCAGCAGGCGAAATGAATTATTTTTTTTCACCCTGGACGACGCCATATAATGGCGGTAATAAGCACTGCATGCTTTATTGAGGCACGAATCAAACCACGATTTCAAACATATGATAGTAACACTTGAGAATATTCTACGTCATCTGCAGTTGACACCTCCCTTTCTGTCTAAAATTATCTTACGTTCCACATCTCTCCGAGAGAGGAGTTGATACAAATTGGGTGGCAACACGCTCTCACTTGAAATCAACATCGACTCAAAAATTACAAACACGAAATCATCACACATGGTAATAATCTTACTCTGTTTGCCATTTAGCAAGGGTGGCTTGTTGACCTTGGTGGTGTAGCTATATACTTGGCATATGATAAGAGGCAGATAACTGACTGCATATCCTACCGTCAGATGTTTCAGCATGCTTGCAATGACTATATTTTCCTGCGCATCTCACATGACACCAATGATCTCGCTGTTTGTTTCGTGCGAAGCTGTTGCCTGAGCTTATCTTGGAAATCCATTGGCGCGTTCGTGAACCATATATCACGGTCAAGTTGACTGCTGATTTTACAGACAATGATATAAACAACAATGTCGCAATGATCCGAGTGTTCCTTAATTACCACGGTTTTAAAAAAAATCATTACCAAAATAAAACGCTACAGCGCCCTTGTAATGTGTATAGATAACACTCGTGAGGGTGCCCTTTGCACCTTACCCCGTGTATTTCTCTTGCACCGTGCCCCTTTACACCTTGCAAAATGTAACAAAAACACGCATTAGGCTAGGCTGATTTTTTGCGCGCCCAAATGGGTGTTTTTGACGAGATTAATTATTACCCTCGTCAGAGAAAAAACTGCCGATAACAGTTTGCGCACTTATGGGAAGTCTGTTTCGTCCCACTACTGCAATCGTCTGGCTCGCTCGCGATTCCTCTCGTGAAAGACTCTGTGGTCGCCAAGGACTTCCCTCCCATCAATCGTTTTATGGCACGCTGATAGCGGTTCGTGATCGAAGTGCAAGTGCCGGGAGCGCAGCGATAACGCATTACGGCTGTGCGACATATGCCCCAAATACATCCTTTTTGTTTCAGGAGTGCGATGCGGTTGTGGTGCTTTCGAAGCAGAATATTCGTTAGTGACCACAATTTGGAAGCGAATGCCGTCGGTGATGATGTTTCTACAAGTGCATGGGGTGAAAGATCGAGAGAGCAAATTTGTAGGTGGGTTATAGTGGCGCAAGGGCGAGAGCGAATATTTAGCATTAACATTTCTATTCCAGATCATTCTGCGTACAGAAATAACAGGAAATGAGCGCGTGCCCGGGGAAGGTGAAATATTCATCATCATCATCATCATCATCAGCCTGACTACGTCCACTGCAGGACAAAGGCCTCTCCCATGTTCCGCCAGTTAACCCGGTCCTGTGCTTGCTGCTGCAATTCATACCCACAAACTTCTCAATCTCATCTGCCCACCTAACCTTCTGTCTCCCCCAAACCCGCTTGCCTTCTCTGGGAATCCAGTTAGTTACCCTTAATGACCAGCGGTTATCCTGTCTACGCGCCTACATGCCCGGTCCATGTCCATTTCCTCTTCTTGATTTCAACTATGACATCCTTAACACCTGTTTGAAATATCAAGAAAGGTTAAAATGTCACCATGAGCCTCCACGGGAAACAGGGCACAACCGAAGATTCCCGACCAAAACTAGAGGGTATACTGAGGGGACTCTGACAACCCCGAAATTTTTCACTAAAGTATTTCCACGCATTCACATCGTCCAAAAGTTGACAAGTCATTATACGCATAGACACCAAATTTAAAAAGATTACTTGGTACAGCCCTGCGTACGTTGTTCATTTGCATATGCATGTGAGGTTGCCTTGCAGTTGATAAGTGAATGAAGGAAGGAAGTGTAAATTTATGGGCTTGTTTTTTTTTTTTAGACACAAAAAGATGAAAACTAACAATAATGATGGCAGGGGAAGTATAGAGTATGTTCTTAGATAAATATGTGTGGTTCAACGTCCTAAAACCACCATATGATTATGAGAGACGCCGTAGTGGAAGGCTCCGGAAATTTAGACCACCTGGGGTCCTTTAACGTGCACCCAATTCTGAGCACACGGGCCTACAGCATTTGCGCCTCCATCGAAAATGCAGCCGCCACAGCCGGGATTCGATCCCGCGACCTGCGGGTCCGCAGCCGAGTACCTTAGCCACTAGACCACCACGGTGGGGATAGAGGACGTTGTAAGTAGTCATTGTAATGTAAATGTGAAGAAAGAAAAGTGGACGAAAAAATACATTGCCGCCAGGGGCCTAACCTTCGATCTTCGAATGACGCGTCTGATGCTCTATCACTGAGTTACAGAGGCGGTCATTCGTCCGTCGTATGTATGCGCATTTAAACGTGGAAGTATCGCTCAGCGCCGCCGGAAGCCATACTTACTTATACTTTCCTTGGCATCATCGTATGTTAATTAGTTATCATTAATACTGAGTCGATAACTGAAGTGTCTCAATGGCGTAGTAACACTAAGAGTAGTTGGAAAAGTACGATCGAGATTTGTTAGTCAGTAATGGTATATACACCCTTGGAATCCCGGATAATCAGGCAGCGTTTGAGGGCATTTATATTGCAAGAGTGTTGTATACTACGCAAACAATGTGAACGCGATACCGTGTAAAGTTTTTCTAAACTAATCGAAGGTATCCAAGGCACAAACGCAAAGTATCTTTTTCCTCAATTAAGAAAAAAACTGCGTGTCCTAACGGCAGAATTGTACGCAATCGATGACGTTTAATCCATCACAATGTCGTGATTTTTTTTTGTAATTGACGGATTACTCTTGTACATAATGCAGGTCAATGCGTGCACGTGAGTAAAATTTTTTTTTCCGTAACCGTGACGGCACAATGACAAAAGCTTGTGACAGGAGATGCCACCTTCAGCATTCGCACTTGGCGCGAACAAAAGTTTCCATGTGCGCAGGTATGCCGGAACAATGGCCTTCAATTCAATAATTACAATCAACTCATTGTGCATGCAGATGTATAGAATAGTGAGATAGCTTGTAGTGACTATATGGGCCTTCTTGGCCGAAATTATTTCGTAGGAAAGCATTTGCACTAGCTTTACTGCAGTGTCAAAATTTGCTTTCCATCGCTGAATAACTCACCTTGTGCTGCGTTCCACTTCGTTATCGTTTTATTCTAATAATTAAGCATATTCTGTATCCCCAGGCAACTTTCTTTCTATTTGCCACGAGAAGAGTTACTTTCGAACAATCTCCTTGCTCCCCCCCCCCCCCCCTCAAACCCGTAAGAAATCCTGGCTACGTGCCTGCTACAGATCATTCCCATGGTCGCTGAACGATCCAGATTCCCCTCTAGTTCATTCGAGGAAAGTCTGTGGTTTCTTCGTCCTATGTGACTCATATTGGCTCTGTCTCATAAATTACTACATACCGATTAAATACTTCCTATACCGTCCCCGGTGCATCGCTTTGGAAAAAGCGAAACAGGTCCGTCGGTGGGAATAGTGCCACGTCAGATATTCTCTGCAGATTCTCCTGCGTACGACACGTAACCCTTGTATTTTTTTTTTCCTTTCGCCACTATACAAATACGTGTTCTGTTGCCGCATCGCACACTTGAACCAGCGCTCTTTCCGTTTTATCCCCGTATTCCCTGGCTTCGCTTTGTCGTCGCCACGACGGCGGTGAGTCAACGACGCTTGCACGAGACACGGTGCGTGGCGTCACGAGAAACTGGCTTTTGACTCCTGCAGCCTTTTGTTCACTGCATGCGTGACCAGCGACACAAACAAGACGTCTTGAAGGCCCGCATGCGTGAGATGAAGCGATTATTCGCTTTTAAAAGAATAATAACGAGGTAAACCTTGTCAATGCTTCCTTCACCGCGACCTTGACAT